TACGAGACCCTCGAATCCAGTACAACTCCAACGGGGTTCTTTGTGACATTGTCACCCCAGGTTGCCTTCCAGCCATTCTCCTCAAGGTATCTCTTCCATGCTTCGTCATCATCGTCCAACTGTCGTGATACATCGGGTATAACAAACAAAGCCACGAGCGCGCCAACGACCGCGAAGCCAGACCCGACGAGAAAGGCGACCTGGTCACCTGCGGAAGAGTCATCTGAGTAGGCGGTCTGAATGGAAGTGAAAACCTGCGTTCCAATGGCGGCACCGGCTTTGCTCCACGCGGCGACAAATCCCATGAGCTGGCCACGGATGGCCGTGGGAAAACATTCCGAAGCTGTCAGAACGACGGTGCTTCCCGGCCCAAGTTCGCCGAGGCTCAAGAAGACGCCATAAAGCACGATGAACAGAGGGAAATTGTTCTGTATAGGACCCATGGCTCCGCCCAAAACGAAGCCAAGTATGGCCTGCAAGCCAAAACCTAAGGCCATTGTCCTCCTACGCCCGATCTTGTCAGACAGGTACCCGCCGACGAAAGGACCAGGTATATAGAAGCAATTGATTACCGTGCCCCAGCCGAGGTTCTTGACGATGCTGTTGTCAGGATTGGCACGAGAGATGATTGTCGAACTGAAGATGCCAAAGGGGATGCTAATGTAATTGTACAAGAACCAAGTCGTAGCACAACCGATCAGCGGTCTGTAATATCTTTTCAGGGCCAACAAGTAAGGAGTTCGCTGCTTGCGTAGTGCTGACTTTCGATACGCGGTGGACACAGCCATTCTAATCCGAAACCAGATGATCGAAATGGGCGGGACAAGGCCAAGCGCAAAACTGGTCCGCCAGACAATGTTGTACTTCTCCACTTGCTGATGGACGCAGAGGAGCAGGAGCAAAGGCACCAACCCACCAAAGACATATCCTAGAGAGCTGGACAAGTCTGCCAGCATGGCAAACATGAAGCCTCTGTGCTTGCGATACTTGTCACTCTCGTCCGTGGCTTCAGCTGCTCCGGCACCAGACACAGGATACTCTCCGCCTGCTCCGATGCCTGCAATGCCTCGAGCAATGATGAGCATCCACAGCATGCCTTCGGTCGACTTGCCGTTGGCAGCCGCTGAGAGCACTATGCCTAGTACGAGGAGTGCTGTTGTTGCCATCGCACCTGTCTTCCGGCCCAGTTGATCGACAATGACACCGAAGAAGAGCATGCCTAGGATCATGCCGATGAGGAAGGCGTTGCTGAGGCGCGTGTAGATGGCGTCCGTGAGTGCTTCCGGGTATAGGACCGCGAGAAGTAGCTCTACGTTGCCAATGACTGCGGCGTTACTGCAATAACCATCATCAGATTTGGGTTCTTCAGCTGAAGGATAACTAGGTACACAAGGGCGGGCAGCAAGAGATGAAACTCACTATCCATCTGAACCGATGGCGAGACCAGAGAACAAGATCATCAACCAGACCGAAAGCTTGCTGTAGTAGGTTTTCTCCGGTTCCTCAACCGGTTGTATCTCAACATCGCCATCTTCAATGGTGGGGGCCGGGGCGATCTTCTTCTCGTCAACTTCTATGTTGTCATTGTTGCTCAAGCTTGTAGCCATGGCTTCGTGTACATCACTTCATTACTTGGCAAGAATCAAAAGTGAGTTGCATAGTATTCATCACATGAGCCTGCTGATCCACAGGGGAAGGTTCTGGTGGTATTACTTATACAGAAATTCTTCAAGTCACGGTCCACCGAAATGCTCTCATTTCCTCTTATCATGAAGCTTTACCTAGGTAGTCTCTGGGCGCGCTACCATATCACCTGTGTGGGCCCTAAATTGCCCACGCGTATCATCGGCCGGCGTTCAGGGGTTGAAATCGCGGAGAACACAATCTGGGGAGCGCGGAGAAAGCAACCAAGTGCAAAGCACCGGGCCGGGCCCCGCACGGCTTGGAGATCAATTGCTGGGAGCTGCCATCCGGTCTTGGACAGAATCCCTGACCATATTTATATGTATTCACCGTGTTTAGGATTGAACAACTCCCCCTCAATGCCCAAGTCCCTCGAAACTTCCTCGGATCGTCATGGAGAAGTCAACACACCTAGCCATCCCGTCAAAGCCACGGCCCGGGTTTTCGCCGCGGCGTGCGGTCACCGTGGTCGGCGGCGCCATACTGTCGGTGCTCTCATTGACTTACTTTGAACTTCGCCCCAGACTTCTGGGATCCCAGAGCGCGTCTTCCTCGGTTTTTGACAAGGTGCAAGAATGTGCTATCCGCAACCTGCACCAAGACTTGTCCTTCCTGGATCAAGCCAAACCCATCGAATCGGACGAGTTCATTGAGCGGAGAGATCGCCTAGCCCGAGCTCTTTCAGCTTCCAATGTTGACGCATTTGTCCTTGAGCCAGGCTACACGTTCCAGTATGAAGAATGATCCACCGATGAACAAAACATCGAATGCTAACAATGCAGCAAAGATATTACGGCAACATTTCTCAGACGGATTGGGAGCCTTGGGAACCCGAGGAACGACCATTCCTCATGGTCGTGATGCCTGAGACGTCTGTTACCACCGGAGAAATCAAAGCAAAGACGGCCTATCTCTCTCCTCACTTTGAAGAGGGCCGAGTTCGCATGCTTGGAATACCCAGTCGTGATACAGAGCTTGATATCGTGATCTGGGAGGAGCATTGGAACCCTTACACCACCCTCCTCCAATCTCACCTCTTCAAAGATTTTGACCACCAGCCGAAGCTCATGATGGACGAAGAAATTCGTGACTATATCGTCCGTGGTCTTGATGCAGCTGGTTTCGATACAGTCGGATTGAATCCTGCCGTGGAGCTAGTGAAGCAGCAGAAGACGCCTGCAGAAGTCGAGCTGATCCGGGCTGTGAACACAGGCACTGTGGAGGCAGTACGAGCAATGAGGCCTTGCCTGGTGCCCGATCTTACCGAGAATGATGTGACAGACATTCTTGATAATGCGCTGCTGTCAATTGGGTTTTCTCTATTCTTCAACATCGTGTTGTTTGAAGAGCATGGTGCTCTGCCACACGGCGGCTTCGTGACTGGTTTCAAAAAATTGTCATACGAGACGATGGTCGTCATAGATGTGGGAGCTCACAACTTGGGATACTCGTCGGATATCTGCCGCAGCTTTTTCATTGACCCCCCGAAGCCGAACCACATAGGCTTTGGTGTATTTAACGCGTTAAAGGTCAAGCTGGGGCTCGAAGCCGCGCCAATCGATGCAACGTGGACACCACCAGACCCAAAGCTGCACGCAGAGAAATTGCAGGTGTGGGATATTGTGCTTGATGCCCAGACTGCTGCAGCCCGTGCTTTCAAACCAAACGCTACAGCCGCCAGCGTCGATATAGCTGCAAGGTCAGTCATCGAAAATGCTGGTTACGGATATGGCTTCACGCACCGTTTAGGACACGGCATAGGGATCAAAGGTAAACCTTCCCTCTTTCAATTACCAGTGCTAGTGGTCACCACTAATACATCACAGCCCACGAGTCCCCGTATCTCAACAAATGGAACACGGAGGTGTTCCTCCAGCCTGGCATGACTTTCACCAACGAGCCCGGAATCTACCTCGAGAACCGATTTGGAGTGCGCCACGAGGACATCTACCTCGTCAGGGTTGATGGAGAGGCCGAGCTTCTGTCGGGGAAGAGGGCACGAGGGCCTTACGAACCCTAAATATGCTGAGCCGCCTTCATAAGCCAAATACCTTCAACAACGCCATGATCCCCCATCCGACTGCAATGACGTCCAAGAGTCCGATAATCTCCATGCTCTGTTTGATAGCAGCATTGTACTGATCAAGGAGGGGCACACTGGCTTTGGTAGCCCAGAAATTCTCCATGTACCGTGCTGTGCCAAAGCGCAAGGCAATGGCCAGGATCGCAGGCCATACTGATCGCCAGGGCGCAACGAAGATACTGTCACCGGAAGAGACAAAGAGCAAGTACGCGATTCCAGAGAAAAGCGAGGTGAGGCACTTTAAGCTGATTAGTATACCCAAAATGCCCTCCGGTAATTCAGAGCTTCATGGCGACAGGACTCACCGAGACAAAGCCCGCTCCTATCGTGTAGCGCGTGTCCCAGAGGCGTGTCTTGGCCGTGTTGCTCCAATCTGCAGCTTTCTCTGCATTCTTCTCGTACTTTTTGATGTTTGAGATGGATGTCAGGGACTGGGTCAACGCATAGCCGCTAATCAAGTTGAGAATGATTGCGACGATGGCAGTCGGAAAAGCCATGGTAGGGCTTAGGCCGGCGATGGAGAGTCGTGTCCTGGAAGGAGTTAAATGGTCTAAGAATGTAGCGATGTAGGTATGTAATTGTGGCTTTGACAGAGCGGTGTAATTGGTAAAAGCGTGTTTTCTAGGGGAATAAGATGGCACATGTTAGAAGAGACTGGGTGCTGCTGAAGTACCAATTTCTTTCCAGCGTGTACCTACTCCTCAACATCTGCTTCTACTGACAGTGACGTCACCCGTGGCTTCCCGTACTGTTCAGAGAGCCAGAGCCTCAATCTTGCAGAACATGTTGGGAGGGAAGAGAAAAGGAAGAGAATACCGACAGAATTTTGATAGAAAACCGAGAACGTCAAGAAGTGTACGATATGATATAATTATTTTCGCGTGATACAGAGCTGCTCAATTGCATGTCTCATGTGGATAACCTTGCCAGAGGCCTGGCAGTAACACGCGAAAGCACTACCAGGTACCTTGGTAAGCTTGATATTTCAAATGGTCCAGTCGATAAATACCGCCCAATGACTCTGAAAATGTCCCAAGGAATCAATCCAGTTTGACAGAATGAGATTGTATAAGGGGTCAATGGAAGGGGAAACAGCTAGAGCTTTTGGTAGTGCATAGTATGATATCTTGTCAATGTAATTGTAGCACAGTGATAATTCAAATGGTTCGGTCTTTCAACGTCTCGCGCTGAGCATGGTCATTATAATACCTTAAGTTTTCACGATGATATATGAGCGGGGATAGCTCAGTTGGGAGAGCGTCAGACTGAAGTTCAAACTCCAGTTGCAAATCTGAAGGTCGTGTGTTCAATCCACACTCACCGCAAGTTTTTGCTTTTTGGACAAAAGAAGCTTATTCAAGTGAAATAATGCTTCTACGATCGATCATCAATTTGTTTTAAGTCCTGCAGATGATTTGTGGCAATGTTTATATGACGCTAGATGATAATCAAGTCGGGAGCTTAGCTTATCACAAGAGCATCGCAATTTTGTCACTGTAGAAGTAGAGAGGCGGAGTTGCTTAACACCCACCCCGATCAACTAGAAATGAGAGCTCAGAAGGATCCTCGATCGAGTAAACTCCCTATCTAAGCTATTGCAGTGCATCTGGCCGCGACTGCCTAGGTACCTACCTAGCTAGACATTAATGACTGTAGGCCAGAACTACCAGGATATAGATGTCTGATTACTTAGGTTGCATGCTTAATCGAATTATTTCTGGGTGACCGAAGGGAACTATTTCGAAGTCGTCTCCGCCCAGATACTATGTTTTGTGCCTGCTGTGCTTTATTGTCTCTCCACCTGTCGCAGCTTTTCGTCCTCAGGCATCTGTCTCTCCGCTGACGATGACTTGGACCGACTGGGCATCTTGCTCCCAACCCAATCCATTGCCTGGGTTGCCTTGCTCTTCTGCTCGACTTCTTTTTCCATCTCGTCAGCCTCCTCCTCAGCAGACTTGTTCTCGGCCGCGCTCTTCTCGCGGGCCTCTTTATCTTCGTCCTCCTGACGCTTCAGCTTCTTCATCTGCAGCTCCACAATCGCAGCATCAATGTCCTCCAGGTCCAGCTTTTGAAGAATCGAACCAACGAGGAAACGGTACTGTGTATGGCCCTCGACCAAGCCGGACACATCCACGTTCTCGATATACTGCACGTCCGGAATAGGTTGCAGTCCAGCAATACCGTACTGCAAGCTGTTTGCGCGATAAAGGAAGGCCAGGAGATAATCATTGGTTGAGTACACATTGACAACCCTTCCCGCCACCACAGAGCGTATTCGGCGCCAGAGGATGGGATCCGACGGCACGGGCGCGCCCATCAAGCATACCGATTCGATGATGCCAAAGGCCTTGCGGTTTGCGAGTTCGTTCAGGCACGAATAGATGACTCGCGCCCCAAGAGAGTAACCGATGAGCGTGACGGGGCGCTCACCTTGGACTTTGTTGATTAGCGCATCGGCGAGCACTGCCCCGGCCTTCTCACTCCGCGCAACAGCAACACTGAAGGGGTTGTCAATGACTCTTGCAGCCTTCGCAAGGCCCCAGGGTAGAACGAGGGCGGACGCCAAGGAGGCAAAAATTGTGCGGCTCAGAATTTCTTTCTTCGCGAAGCCCCAAGCATAGCTCTTGATGTAGGTGGATAGGGCATGGCCCAATCTTAATAATGCTTCGACTTCCCAGCGCAGTGCAAATGCCTCGGTGCTGCGCCCGTCAATGACTTGCCAGGGCAGACCCACTTCAGCCTTCTCTGTGAGCCAGCCTGATATTCCAATCGCGACACGGAGGTGTCGAGTGTTTTTGGTATCTTGCTTAGCCTTGGAAAACAGTGAAGGTTTGCTCAAGGGCATGAAGGCGAAATCTTGCACATGTTTGGCGTACTCATCCACCATCTGTCCCGTCATCCGCCCCCCGTAGGCACCGAACAAGACTCCAACGAGCGGAGCAGATCCGGCAAGGGCACCCAAGTACCCGGCAGCAGCAGTCGCTCCAAGACCCAGACCGCCCATCATGCTGCCAACACCGGCCGCTAATAAAGGAGCCGCGAGCCCCCCGGTGACACCAATCAAGACAGCGCCAGCGACCGCGCCAAGGCCGACTTTCCACTTTCTCGAAGAACTGTTGTCTGCGGCCTTCTTCTTGGTCTCTTCGTCGGCGTTCATTTGCTGTTTGGCTACCTCGAGTAGACCCTTGGCCGTTGACATTTCATCCTGAGCAAGCAGGTCCATGGAGAGGCCAAGAGAGCTGGCCAAACGCAGCATCAGGACACGAGATTCAGCCGGGTACGATTCCAGGCCCAGCAAAATCAGCAGCATGGAATGCATGATGAGGATGCGTCGAGCATCACTCAAGGTATCGAGTGGCGTCTCCAGGGGTGGGAAGATGTGCTGCAGAATGTCTTGTTCGTGGCCATTGGTAGACGGCTTCTCTCGGCTGGTGGGACGAGAGGATACCTTTGGTGAGTGGCTATCGTGATCGGAATCTCTCTGGTTGACAGCCTCTCCGACGCGTTGCATGACCTTGTCGCGCCACTCATCAAAGTGACCGAGGGCGGCTTCCTTTAATTCGACATTCTCGGACTTGGCGAGGTCTTTGACGCGCCTTTCGAGAACTTTCTTCGCCTTGTCTTGTTCTTTCTGAGCGGCCTCGGACAGGGAAGTTGGGTTCTCGCTGGCGGATTCTTTTTGTGTCTCAATCCGGTCTGGTACCTCAGCTTGAAGCTTGAGGGCTTCAGTATCAGCCTCGGGCTGTGCAGCTGAGGGACCAATTCTCAGGGGCGTCGTGACCTCGCACCTGTTGGGGTCAAAGGTATCAACAAGCTGTGTTCGCATGGAATCGATAAGATCTGCAATGAGAAGCAAGAGGCTGGCCCTATCTTCACGCGTTGGTAAAACTGTCGTCAACGACTCCCCTTCCCCATCACCATGGCCATCCGCGCCGTTGCCATCAGCTTTGTCGGTCAGGTTCTTCAATTTGTGGAACATGTTGATGTTTGAGTAGGTGATAAGGAGTAGAGTGTTCACATCTTGGGCCAAACCCCCGGTCTACCTGATGCCCCGGTAACATATACCTAGTTGTGTCGTTCTGGTATCCCTAGGTAGAGAGGGTCAACAGTGACGGTTTTTGTCTTAACTCCCACATTGAAAGTGATGTCATCCCTGACATGACTTCAGGGCATCCCAGTGAGTTAGAACCTCTGGAGTGAAAGATCATGTGAAGAGAAGGGTTAGGGTTGTCAGGTAAAGGTAGCCCCTCAAGCCCCTGTTGCCGTAGGATGGTACTTCAACATGGTCACTTTGACACGGTCATGACGCAGTGGCGTTTGAATACTCAGGGATCACCATTACTATGGTGCGCCAGAGGGCTCACTGTCTGAAAACCCAAAATTCGTTGTTACAGCCACGCCGTCCGTTTGAAACTGGCACCTTATAATTGAATAAATTCATTGCATTGCATAAAGCATTTATATAAAGGGGTTATGTAATAATTAAGAGATTTTTTTTTGGAAAAAAAAATTTTTTTTAAAAAGAATTTTGATAATTTTTATTATTAAACCCTAACCCTAACCCTAACCCTGGTAGCTAAGAATAAATTTTTAATTTTTTTTAAAAAAATAAAAATTAAAATTAATTTTATTATTTATATTTTAAATTTATTATTAAAGTATATATATAATATAATTAATATCTATTTTACTTTTATTATTATTTTAATATATTTATTATTAATATATATATATAATATAATTAATATTTATTTTACCTTTATTATTACTTTAATATATTTATTATTAAAGCTTATATATTAATAATTATAAAAAGGTAATAAATTTATTTATATTATTTAAATAAATTTACTTAGTAAATTCCTGGTAAATTTACTTATTTTTATAATAAATTCCCTTAGTAAATTTACTTTTACTTTTATTAAATAACTTTATTATATATTTTTTATAAATATATTTTTTATAATTACCTTAAAGCTTTTATAAAAGGCTTATTATTAAATATATTATTATTATTACTATTATATAATATATATATATATATTTATTATATAAAATAAAAAATAAGGGAAAAAAAACAAAAAAATATATATATATATATATATATATATATATTTATTATATAAAAAAAGAAAAAAAAAGAAAAAAAAAGAAAATATTTATAATAAAGTTATTTAGTAAAAGTAAGGTAAATTTACTAAGGGAATTTATTATAAAAACAGGTAAATTTATTTAGTAAATTCCTAATAAATTTACCTAGTATAATAGGTTTAGGCTATGCCTAATTTAAAGTAACTAGGGAATATACTAAAGCTAAACCGTATATTAATAGCTATATAAGGACCCTTTAGCTAGTTTCTCCCTTTTCTTACTTAGAACCTCGGTATTAAAATTTATATTTCTAATTAGGCACCTATTTATTATTATAGGGACCAGGGAATTAATGCCAGCCCTGATCAAAGTAGCAGTGTTATTATAACCTTAAGGATTCAACATCCCTGTTAAAATTTATACTATTTTTAAAAAAATGTATATATAGCTTAGGTTTCCTTTTCTTTATATAAGGGAGGAATAATAAATAAGGCATTAAGATAATAATTAATATTAATAGCTAATAAGATCTTAGGCAAATATATTTAATTTTAACCCCTAAAACAACTTCTAATTTATAACAGCTATATTGTTGTTAATACCTTAAAGACTGCTTAAAACTACCTTTATAATTATTATGCTTAACCTATTATAAAGGCTTTTTTAATAAATATAGAAAAGGCATATTCTCTTTTATATTCTTTTTAGTAATTTATATAAAGGGATAATATTCTTTTATTTTATAATCTTTACTCTAATTTACAGTTAAAAAGGATTTATTAACTATATTTTAAGCATTATTTATTTTATTTTTATTCTTTATAAAAAAAATTTATTTTAATATTTTTTAACTATTATAGTAAAAGATTAAAGGAAATTGCTAAGGAGCTTTTATAAAGGGCTAAAGAACTACTTAAAAACTGCTTATAATAGTAATAAAGATTAAAAAGTATTACTAAAAGATTAAATTAAAACTATAAAAGTTTATTTAATAAAGAATAGCTTTAATTAAAAGTTAGAGAATATTATATATAAGGCTAATAAAAAGCAATAGTATATTATAGCTAAAAAGGCTAAAGCAAAAAGCTTAAATTATAACCTTTTTTAATAACCTTTAGTTAATAAACTACCTAACTGCTATTTATAAAGAAATAAATATTTTAAAATTATAATTTAATTTAAAAGAAAACCTACTTTCTTTTTATATTTAAACTTTAAAAAAGCTATAATAGTA